AAGTCTTTAGTTGTCCCAGCCTTCTGTTGCAGCTAAAACTAAAGGGCAGAAAGAGAGAGAGAGAGAGAGAGAGAGAAATGGACACTGAAAGAGTAAGACAAGAATATAGTTTTGAAGAAATATTTATGAACCTATTATTCATTAATATATTTTTATAGGAAGAATATATAAAGATTCTGAATATTCAAGAGCTATTAACAAATAAATTCTTCATGAATATATTTATGAGAATAAATTTTAAGAATAATTTACAGGAAAAAAATCGGGAAGACTATATTCCTGAATAATGAGAATATATTCAGAGGAAAACTTCATACTCATTTATATTGTATTTTTCAGCACAGGGAATTGCAGAGAAAAACTACATATTCTTAAAAATGATATGAAACAAAATGTAATTCAGTCAAAATTCAATATATCAAAAGAATTGAATGAATGTGGCAAGTTGGTCATCCACTGAGTGGCTAAGAAAAACATTGAGATTAGGCACTGGCTGGGCACAGGAATCTGGATACAAGCCTTGCCTCACTCCAAAGCCCAAGTTTTTTCCCCTATACTTCCCTGCCTCCAAGCTCACTCAACAGAGATTCCATGGACAAAGATGCTTTGAGCAAGACATCCCAGCACTCAAGGGGAAGGTGTCACAACTTAGAGCCTGTGTGAAGGAGACAATCTCCTGTACTGTCACTCTTGGAATTTGGGACTGAGTTTTATAAGGCAATGATCTAACCACAGAGGGAGATAAAAGGTGTTAAAAGCTGATTAATGATAGATTCTTCTTGGAATACCTGTGGATTGTTGAGAGAGAGAAATTTTTGAAAAAATTATCTGAAACTAGACATTCAAATACTATGGTCTCAGAAGTCCTAAGTTTCCTTAGGATTCTTAATCATCCACCTTCCAGCCTCATGGTGTATACTTATGATGTCTTGGACAAATGGTCCTTTGGGGGGAATTCTTTCTAATAACCTACAAGTTTATATTTCTTGAAGCCCTGTTGGTAATATTTTGCTTTGCCTCTGACTTACTCATATTCCATGTGGGAATTAGGAAAAGAGGAGAGAATGAGAATTGAGGTTGGTACCTAGGTGTAGTGAGGCCTTCACAACATCTGGGCATTTCTGGATACTACCTGACTTCTGAGAGTGGTGGTACTCCTCCAAGCAGAATAAGGGATTTCTACTCATCATGTTTCATGCCTTTTTGGAGAGTGGGGAGAGAGGGGCAACTGGTTATAGTGGAAGCTGGAGGTAGCAGAGCTGTGTTCAGGGCAATAAGGTGGCCAAGATCTGTCCTGAGGCCCTTAACAAAAAGCTGCATTAAGAAGAGTGGGTTCCTTGGGCCAGGTAAGAGATTTATATGTGGGAGATTAGTGTCAGAATGTTTTAAAAATGGACTGTTGTGCATTTATTTCCCTGACACCTATTTAATGGGTACTATTAGGTGTGTCATTCACCTGCCACATGTGATCCTTGGCTTATGCTCAACATGCATGTGCATATCCTCAACATCAAATTAAAAAGACCCTTGGGGTAGGTACTATTTTCTCATTTTACAGAGACGTTACATCTATTCAGGAAGTTCAGAGCTAGGATTTGGATTTGAGTTTCATTGGTTTCATTCATTGATGCAACAAATAACTTGTGTGCCAACTAAGTGCCAGATACTATGCCAAAGGATAAGAAAAATGAACAACCTGCCATGGTCTTTGTCATTACAGACTCCCTAGACTGTGGGGAGAGACAAGCAAGCTAGAGTGAACAGCAACATGATTGGGAGGTAGAACTATCTTGACTGCCATGCAGTTAAGTGTCAAGAAAGACTTAAGGAATGGGGCTTGGGAGGGAACACTTCAGGCAGAGGGATCAGCATGTGCAAAGGTGGAGCACCCAAGAGAAAGGTATTTGGAGGGAAGAGAGGTCAGTAGGGGTCTGTGAGAGCAGAGAGCTATGACTGAGAAGAAGGTTGGGTAGGAAGTGAACTTCTGCTGTGTGCTGAGGCCAGTACCGCCCAGCTTGAGGACCGACAGTGTATCTCTTCCCATTTCAGTGATGTCATGTTGACAGAAATAGAATTATAGTATAGAAATCAACACAGATCTAGGTGATTTTATTTCTTGCCTATGGAAGCTACTCGGATGCTGGTTTGTTCAGTCACTCAGGTGAGACTGTCTAGGGAGGGATCATCTCAGTTTCCAGTGAAGATGTCAAGACTGGGTTACTTGGGGTGACAAAGTGGGGGTGTCCAGTAGGTGGCTAGATACTTGGATCATGCTCTATGTGCTCACACTGTCTTCGAACACATTTCAATCCTACTTTGGTTTGGGGTTATCTATACTGTCCTAGACCCTTTTGAAATATGTATTAAATTTATGAATCACAAATATCATGTTTTCCATGGAACCTATACAATGAGAAATTTTGAAGGTTATTTTTAATATTTTTTATTTTTATTTATTTATATAAGAACCAGGGTATAGGCCAGATGCGCGGGAGGGTGAGAGGATTCACCAGAGACAGAGTGGGAAACAGAACAGGCAGACTGATGAAATACACTGCTGAGGGGAGCAGCAGGCGAGACAGGAGAGGTCTACTGTGCCATGTGGGACCCTCCCTGGCCGGCCAAGAGCGAACCGGAGCTGCAGAGGCTGCGGACAGCTTCACAGCGCAGCGCAGCACAGCGCTTCAGCCGGCCTGCGCCAGGGAGGCCCCGAAGTTTTTTTAATTAAAAAAAACTCTCATTTAATCTTTCACCTAAATTTGCTTCCCCAGGGAAAACCACCCAAGGAACATAGTTCTCAAACATGGCAGATTCTTGGCGGGCTAAGGCAGCAGTGCCACCTTTGTTCTTTAGGCTGAGGGAAAAAAGCCTCTAGGCTGTGGGGTTGGAACAGATTGTAACAACATATTCTTTAAGGCAATGACTTTTTTTTCACCATTCTCTTGTCACAGAATATGACCAACCCCAAACACAGTTTCCCCTGAACTTCCATTCTCTCCTAGTCCTACTCTCCTTGTCATTAGTTAATCGGAGCATATCTATGCAAACCTAAGCTAAGCCAATCATGTATCCCATCCTTCACTGCTGTGGATTCACCAGGGATCACTCTTTGACCTAAGGTGGATAATAAGACCCTCTCTTGGGATTCTTACTCCTGTTACAGAAATGCTGCCTATAAAATTCCATGACTGTCAGTCGGACAGACAAGCTGACATACACAGAGAGATGCCAAAAGAGAGATGGAGAGAAAGGTCCCAGATAAAGATCCTGGGGCCCAGGTGCAATTCTGCCCTCCCAGAGGGCTGGTGGTTTCATTCGCCTTTGATTACAAAAGCCACTACACTCCTTTATAAGTTAGACAGGGCCTAAGTGGAGGTGGGTATTTATGACTCCAACTTAAAGAATCTTGATATAGAAACCAAACCAAACCAAAACACCTCTTGTCCTGGTGCCTCTTCACATGTGCTCTTGGCTGTGCAGAGCTCGGGAGTGACGACGTCTAACCTTGGACAGGCTCCCTCCTTGCCCCTTCTTGCCTCTTGCTCTGCAGATTCTAATGTAGTTTTCAAGTTTTCTGTTTTCATAACTGCCTTCCCTTTCATTGTTTCAATTTTTGTTAAAGATTGAGCATTCAATTGATTTGTCATATGAAGGTATAAATTTGGGAAGGGAGAAATAACTGTGATTAGATCTCTTTGAAACAGATAGTTGTGATACATGATAACTCATGCTTTTTTTTTTTTTTTTTCCTTCTAGAAGTGCTAGATACAGAGAAAGAAAATTCTACAATTTATAGATTAGAGGACATTTCTCCACCATCATTCTCATCAATAATCAACATCTATTGAGCATTTTTAAAAACTAGGCACTTGGAATTTAAAGAGATTTAACATGTACTTCATGTCCTCAAAAGTCTTGGAATCTGTGTTAACCAAATACAGAAAAACAACTGGTTCTGCAGAAAGGGAAATATTGCTGATCAACAGACAAAAAGTTGATCAGTAATTATTTTGTGCAAGTTTAAGGGGAATACTACAAGTGAAGCAAGATCCAAAGAGAAGCCCCCAAAATGACTAAAACTTTTAACTATTATCCCAATAAGAAAGACAAAATAAGACTACAACAGGGGAAAGCAAGGCATCTACAACCCTATTATTTATAACACCCTTTACCTTTGAAGAGTAGGGAGGAGGATACAAGGGGACCTCAGTTTGAGAAGTGTGGGAGGCTTGCAGACATCCAACTTATTATTCTATATGTTTTAATATTAAGTATATTCTTCCATATGTATGTAGAATAATTTAAATGTTCTTTTCTTCAAGGTCATAGAGAAATATGCAGCTAAAATAGAAGAGATCAAAACTTACACAAATTTTGAAAGAGCTTCACTTGCTTTACTGAAAGGACATCTACTCTTGTCACTGGGTTTTCATATTTTTATTTGCCAATATCAAATCACTGAGCTATTTCTGAAGTTTCTGACTTTTCTAATATTTGAGTTGCAGCAATCTGCACATTTTGCTGAACATTCCACAATGCTTGTTCCTTGTGTCTTTTTCTAGCTGTTTGAACATCCTGTGCTTAGCTATCTGGGAATTATTTGTCTCAGAGCTTTCCTTTGCAGAAATCAACAGTGTTGAAATAAAGAAGTTATGCTCAAGGCTTACTGTAGAGTGATAAATTGCAGACTTAACAATACTCACATGAGCAAAATACTTTTTCATCGTAAATATGCATTATTAAAATAATCCAGAAAATAAGATATAGTTAATAGAAGTGATGGTTCAATGCTAACAAAGTTACAGTTAAGTATACAATTTTATAAACATCAAATGGCAGTGTAGATTAGTTTAACTTCCATAGGAATGTATTATAAGGACATAATTAAATATTTAGGTAAGATTCATTCACAAAGATTTTTTAAAGAAAATTATAACATTAAAAAAATAAAAAATGCAAAGGTAGAGTTTTATATGATCAGTTTATTATCATTTAAAATATATTAAAATTTTAACATAGCAGAAGCAGAACTTTTAATTGTAAATGGCAGTCTACAAAAAACTGCAAAAAAAAAAAAAACACAGAAACAAAAATTTACATCAATCAATAATATTAAAATTCCATTTAGGTAAATATCTAAATTAATTCAATATGTCCATACCTCTTAGAGAAGAGTTCTTTTGTTCTTCAATGATCTACAGTTTGAGAAACTCTTCAAGGACAATCAACTTTCTTAAACCTTAAGATTCTTAATGAAAGAAATGGGTCAATTTTTATCTATTTCCTCACCCTCCCCGATAAAAAAGATAGGGCTCCACTTCCATGGGGGCACTGTTGCTCTTACTGTGGGTATGTCTAAGAAAAGAGGCTCCTGTCTTTCAAAACTGGGGGACTGATTCCACATAACTTGCCACTTATACACACAAATAAGATCTGATAACAAATTAGAATTGTTCAAACAAAGCTCAGATGTAACCTAGCTCTCTTTACACATAATCAGACAGACCCAGGGCAACCCCATCTTCTTGGCTGCGCTCACAGGAAGCTGGAGGATTTGGGCTAGGTCTGGGGTCTGTCCACAGCCAATGCCCAACGTCACACCAGGTCTCCTCCACCTCAGTCTGTTGGCACTGCTGGTAGAGTGTCCTGGGCAGGTCGTTGGTTCTGCTCAATACCCAGGCTGTCTATTCTCATGCTACTCTTGGCATACTTTGGGAACCTGAGGAGCCAACTGAGAAATAGTAATGGCACTAAAAGGAGGATTAATGAATTATGAAAATATGTGCTTAATATGAATTTTTTTTAAAGACTGATACTTTCCTGAGTAAAGTACACAAAAATCTCACATGTAGTCTTTTTAAAACACCAGGCCTCTATCTCTTATACTCACTGCACCCAGATGGCAAATTCAGTCAAGCTCAGATGTTCTGGTGAGAACATTAATGTATTTATGAATTTTTTTCTATTATTTTACCACTTGAGAACTTTATGCTTGCAAAATGGAAAAAGGCTTTTTTCATGGTGAGGGAGAGATGTGTATGGGCTTCTTTGGTCTGTCTGTTGCAACAAGTGAAAGCCGGAAGGACCCAAGTGAAGACAAAGATGTCACAAACCACAAGTGCACCTGCACCTCTGCATCACTGGCAGCAGAGGATCAGTCCTCCAAACCCACAGACACTTTAGAAGGCCCAGATTAAATATGGACATGACCACGAGGACATTAAAATCAAATTAACAGGGTCCGTTTTATTGCTAAAATAACAGGGTCCTGGTGTGGCAGCAGCTCGGGTGGAGTCTACCCCCTGGCCTCCTGGCCTGAGACAGTGTCTTCCTCAGTGAGGTCCTGGGAATGCCGGAACATGAGGATAGAATTATAGATTTTCAGGGCTGGGCCCAGCTTGATCTTCATTACCTTGACGATGTCCGTCTGTGTCAGAAGCAGGAAGGCTTTGCCATCAATCTGCTACAAGTAAATAAATAGACACATATAAAAATATCCTGCCAGTGCAGCCTGTTTGCCTCTTAGTACTGGTTGGTGCTCAGCTGTCATTGCCAGCCCCCCTGGGCTCAGTAAACAGCAGAGAATGAGGGCATCCCTCATGTGCTGCATGCCAAGCATCCTTTTCCCCATCTTTAACCCCAGGATTCTGAAGAGAAGTTAAAATAAAAGGTGATCACTCTGCTAAATATGAATTCAAAGTACAGTAACTGTTCCCAGGTTAAATTTCTAATACTATGGTTTTAAAATCCTGACCTGAATTCCTACTAAGTATATTAAAAATAACCTAATTTCATCCAGTAAATCTCTAGGAATTTTTCCTAAGAGAACACTAATGTGTACACTCTATTATCACTTAAAATGGTGAAATACTGAAAACAACTTAGTATTTCAAAAATAACAGGAGTAAATAAATTATAGTGTCACCTAAGCTGGGATACAAGGCAGTCACTAAAATTCATGTTTCAATGAATCACTTCATGATTGGAAAATTTTTCATAAACAGTGAAGTGACAAAACTTGGTATGATTTTATTGAAAGACCTCAATTTTGATTTGCAAAATTAGATATTTTATGACTGCATCTACATATTTGCATCATTAAATTATTTGAAAACTTTACACCAAATGATAAGAAGTCAGATTTGGCTGTGGTTTGGTTTTTATTTTCTTCTAATATTCTTGTATTTAAATTTTTCTAGGATATCTACTATTATCAGCAGAAATACTATTAAATCAATTCTTTACTTATTAACTTTCAAAGCACATTATGGCCTGCAATGTAATTGTTTGCCATGGGGTGAAGAGATGCTCCATTAGGCTGTTTTTTTCCTGTTTCTAGAGACTCCCCAGGTGCCTGGAGTGTGAGCCTAGTTCCTGTGGTGTGGGCCAAGCTGCCAGCTAAACATGAGTGAGCCAGAGGGAGGTCGAGGCTACTGGGCCTGGGTACTGCTGGCTTGTTCCCGCCCAGGCCTCCTTTTCTTGCTTCCCCCAAACTCTTTTATTTATACTTAATTAAATGAAAACAAAGACTTCTGTGTCTAGAAGTATGGAAATATATATAATTTTCCCATTTCCTACCTCTTTCTTGAAGCACTTGGCATGCTCTTCACAGCCCAGGAGAGACTGTACAAACTCGGCCACCTACAGTGCAAGATGAAAAACCTGATTTAAAACATGCACCTGAAATAATTTCTTGGGTTGTAGTAATTCAACATTTGAGTAAAATATACTTCAAATGCCTCAAACACTTGGGATTTAAATAGTAACTACCAAGTCACATTAGCATTTGCCAGCTCAGAAGTCAGATTAACCCCAGTGTCTCCTCCGGCTTCTGGTTTCCAGCCTGACCTACATAGAGTTATGGTTAGGAAGACCTCAGGAAGACAATGACAGTTCCATCTATGTGGAGCTCTGGCATTCTGGAACCTTCTCTCATGTGATCCTTCGTTCATCCTGTGGGATCAAGGAGTGTAGGGGCTAGTGGCCTGCATGTGGCAGTTGTCAGCGACTCACAGAGATGAGGACCTGTCGCCTGGCCTTTTGGCAGGGTCACTAGGACAGGGCCCTCTTCCTCAGGCCTGGCCAATGCAGGAAACTAAGCAATCCATCCTGAGTAAATGCCCATGTAAATGATGATGAAGCTGAAACTTAAAGAGGATTGATAAGTCACTCACAGTCCCACAAGGCCAGTAAATACCAGGGATGGTTTTTGAACTCAGGCTTTCTGAGTTCAAACCCAGAATTCTGGAGAATTAGTCCCTTCACCTCAATTTCCCACTCTCACATTTTCCTTGTTCCATCTACAAATGCTCAAAATCCCTCTCATAGAGAGATCAGACGATGAGCTGGCTGTACATGCCGGAATCCACTGACTATCCCACTTGCTGCATGGAAACCTTACTGAAGAAATGTGGAAAAGGGCAGACTTCTACCAACCAAAATGACAGCTGGGTTCTGGCACTTCTAGCAAGATCTGGCTCTGCACACATACTGAGTGAGAGGCAAGTTAGATAGCCATGGTAAGTGAATCCTGGAAGATTACTTATAAGAGTAACTGTCTTGTTCTTTTTTTTTTTTTTTTTTTTTCTTTTTGGTCCTCTCCCTCTGGTGTGGACTGCATCATGCGCACTGGGGAAGGCCTACAAGAGAACGGGGCTGCTCAGGGCCTGTATCAACATATTCTACAATAAAAGAGATCTGGCAGTGCGTGGTGCCTACGCTGCCTAGAGGAGGCATTAGTGGATGCTGGGCTCTCTCCCCATTTTTTTTAAGATTTATTTATTTATGCATACAAGAACTGGGGTACAGGCCAGAGGTGTTGGGACTGAGAAGATTCACCAGAGACAGAATGGGGAACAAAACATGCAGACTGACTGAAATACACTGCTGAGGGGAGCAGCAGGCGAGTCAGGAGAGATCTGCTGTGCCATGTGGGTAGCTCCCTGGTTGGGGATCGAACTCATGCTGCAGAGGCTGTGGATAGCTTCGTTCGTGCTGTGCTTAACCCCTTGCGCCACCAGCGAGGCCCTCTCTCCCCATTTTAAAGAAGAGAGCATCAAGGTATTGGTGGATCACCAGGTTGCAGAGAGGGGCCAATAGCAGCAGGGTGGACCCAAGGGCTGGACATTCATGTGCTCTCTCGAGGACATCCTGCAGCTCTGTCCCTTGTTCTCTCACAAATGAATTTAGTCTGCCTAATAGGAAGATTTCAAAAAATCTTTTTTTTTTTTTTTTAATTTTTTTTTTTAATAGAGGCATGTTTTATTTATTTATTTATTTGTTTGTTTGTTTTGTTTATACATGCACTGGGTACAGTCAGAAGCGCGGGAGGGTGAGAGAATTCACCAGAGCCAGAGCGGGGAGCAGAGCAGGCAGAAGGACCGAAGTACACTGCTGAGGGGAGCAGCGGGCGGCAGGAGAGGTCTGCGCGCCATGTGGGACCCTCTCAAAAAATCTTTTTAAGGGCATTCAGTATATCAGCACCTGTTTTGTACACCTCTCATGGCACAAATGTATTTTATTATGAGTCATTACGATCATCCCTCTGAAGTACAGGATGATGAGAAATTTTTAAAATCCTTCCAGCCATTCATTGTGCTGCCACACAATGGCATTGTCCAGCTCCAGGAGTACCAGAGAGGAACTGAGTGCCCCATGCAGGCCTCAGCTCCTGGCAATCCAAGCTGTTTCACCTCAGTGTCTTGCCTCTGGCTGTCCCTGCACCCAGAAAGCTGAGTCTGTTTGCTGAGTTAATATGGATTTCTCTTTCCTAGGCAGATGGGATGGAAAGAGTGGACAGCGTGTTTGGTATTTGCAGGGAGTTAAGGAAAGCCTTGCAATGTTGCTGGTCAAGTTGCAAACAAACGGTGTCCGGGGCAGGTGGTGGGAGGGGCGCTTAGCGTATTTCTGGGGGTTGAAACAGTCAGAGATGGGTGTAGTCTCCTTAGTCCCCAAGCTGCTCTTCTGGCCAAGTATGTCCTGACTATGGCAATGTGTGAAACACCTACTGGGAGCCTGGAAGGCTGGACCTATGAGCAAATTGAGCCTGAACTTTCAGAGCCAACCCTCTGATTAGTGGCAGGAGGATAGAGGGAAATGGCAAGTGAAGAAAGGCTTACAAATTACCATCACACATGGTCACACATGCAAAAATCCAGAAGAGAGGAAGAAGAGCTATGGGTTTCTAGAAGGGACAGAAGTTATCGCAGGGGCCTCCCTGGTGGCACAAGGGGTTAAGCACAGCACTATGAAACTATCTGCAGCTTCTGCAGGACGAATTTGATCCCCTGCCAGGGAGCTACCCACATGGCCCAGCAGACCTCTTCTGTCTCACCTGCTGCTCCCCTGAGAAGTGTATTTCAGTCAGTCTGCCTGATTTGCTCCCCACTTTGTCTCTGGTGAATCCTCTCATCCTCTGCACCTCTGGCCTGTACCCCAGTTCTTGTATGCATAAATCAATCTTAAAAAAAAAAGCGTTCTCAGGTGGGAACTCAGGAAAGGCATCATGAGGGAGGTGGGAGCTGAGATGGGCACTGGGGGCTGCACAGTATTTCCACTGGGGGTGCAGTAACCATCACAGGGAGGAGTTGAGTTTGGTCAGTACTGCGGAGCATAAGGGGAAGGCGGGAAAGGCTGGAAAGGAGTGTGGGGTCTCCAGGTAGGTTTGCACTTCTATCAGCAGGCTGCAGGGAGCCCTGGAAGGGTGGCTCTCCACCTCGGCCATACCTTGGAAGCATCCAGAGTAAAAGCAAAGGACTGAAGGCCGGGCTGTTGCCACAGAGACTCTGAAGCAATCACGCTGGATTGGGCCCAAAGTGTTTGGCATGTATTTTTAGAATCCCCAGTTGACTCTAATGTGCAATTAGGGCCGAGGATTCCAATAAGAGAGAGCCTGTGCATGATATAGTGAGTGTGGATGGGCTGGGCAGGAGAGCTGGGAGGTGTCTGCAGAGGCTGGCAAGCACTGAGAGCTTGGATGAGGGCCGTGAGGCAAAGACTGGCGATAGGAGGGAGTGCCGCAAGGTAAAATCTGTGGGTTCTGCCCCCAGGCTGTGTATGGAGGGAAAGGAATCAGACTGAGTTTAGGAAAAATGCTCCAGACCAGGTTTCTCAGCTCCAGCATTCCCAACATGCTGGGCCTGACCATCTGATGCCAGGGGCCTCCTGTGTGTGGCAGGTTGCTTAGCCACACCCCTGGCCTCTAGCTGCTAGGTACCAGGAGCACACATACCCACCCTCCAAAATGTATCCAAATATTGCCCAAGTATCCCAGGTAAAGAGCCATTACTCTAAAGGAAAGTTCTGTGGTAGGGAATGGCTCTTTCCCTTGCAGAGGAGCTAAATGTCACAGTAGGAAAATTAAGAATAGATGAATGGAACTAGAAATTAGCTAAAGACATATTCTGTTGTATTCCAATCACTGGCATTATGAGGGTAACCAGGCCAGCAACAGGAACCTGGAGGACTTCTAGAGATTTGTTTGTTTGTTTGTTTTTGTTTTTAAAGATTTATTTATTTATACATGCCCTGGGTACAGTCAGAAGCACGGGAGGGTGAGAGAATTCACCAGAGCCAGAGCAGGGAACAGAACAGGCAGACTGACGAAATACACTGCTGAGGAGAGCAGCAGGCGTTGCACGAGAGGTCTGTCGACCCATGTAAGACCCTTGCCGGCGGCCGGGATCGAATCGGCGCTGCAGAGACTGCGGGCAGCTTCGCAGCCCAGCGCTCAACCGCTGTGCCACCAGGGGAGGCCTGAGATGGTTTTTAAAATAAATACATGCTCCAGGAATTTCTCTTCATAACAATAGGGCCTGAATATTGCTGTTGCTTTCATGGTTTAATAGGTTAAAATGTCCTTTTTTGGACACCACTCCTCAGTATTGCTAGGCAAAAAAAATCTCTGTCCATGTAAAAGGTAGATTGGATTTTTTATAGAAATAAATAATGTGTTAAACCAAACAGTAACCAGACCAGTGGCCTCAGCCTGGAGCCGGTGCTCCTCACTGTCCCCGCCTCGTGCTCCTCATGTCTCCTCAGACAATCGGGACAGCCACATCTAGCTTGCTGGGCAGTGACTGAAATTCTGTCTTTTGCGAAGAGCTTCTGATTCTGTACAGTTTCTTTCATTTTCCCAAATAAAGAACATGGTCATGAAATCTATTAAGGCAGTTTTCTAGCCAGAATCTTAAACTATCCAAAGGCCTGAATCATATTCACTATCAATATTCAGTATTGTTCTTCAGTAGTTATTCCCTCTAAGAACAAATTATTTTTGAAGCTTTAATAGAAAGGACAGCAAACTACCAGGCATTGTCTCCATCCGAGTTGCCTGTGGACGGGTCTGATATTCCCAGGGGATCACGGCTCTGTCAGACTGGGGGTGGCCAGAGCTGGGCCTTGGCTCAAGGGACACACCTGGTGTGGAGGCTGAAGTGGGGGCATTCCCCGAGCCCAGTGTCCTACAGTCAAAACCCCAGCTTTGTTCTGGAAGGACACTGAGTAAGTGGATTCTCAGGATGACACAGCAGGCAGGAAATACTGCTGGAATGATGACACTGCAAGCGCTTGATGAGCCCATTACTTTACCCAACTTTCCCAACCCCCTCACCTCAGCGACCTACTTTTCCTGCTACTTCTTG